ATTAAAACAAGCTATCACAGAATATTTAATTGAGAAGTATAGAAATATGGTATGTTATCCATTAGAATGATGTCTTGTAGCCACACAATATGGTGATTAAATCAGTTAAGGATGTGTAGTAGATTGTTTAAAAAACTATCGTCAGACTCATCAAGTTAAAAATGCATATTTTTTACTTTTATGATAAGTGAGAAATGGTTTTAAAAATGCAAAATGGGAATCAAATATTGGTAATCAAATATTCTGTATTTCCCAGATGGATAGAATTTATACTTGGGTAAGAGTTAGGTTAAAAGCCAGAAAAGATGGGGGAAGTTAAGAAACAAGTTGAAAATTCTCACTAAAAAGATAAAACTGAATTCTTTGCTAAAATAAACCTTAGAGCCTATGTCTTGAGAAATTTCTGTGTTGTTTTTTAATTTTAATTTTTAATGGCTTAATAAGAAAACAGATACATCAGAGCTCCCTTTTTGGTAAGAGGTTTGGTGTTTCAGAAATATGTAGGGAGCTGCTCTCCTTAAAGAGATGAACAGCCTCCTGGAAAATCTTTACATTAGAGGAAGCAACAGCCTGCCAGTATCAGATCTGAGACTTCCAAAGGTCAGGAGAGAAGGGTGGGGACTGATATTTAATAAGCATATACTATTTCAGAGGCATTTTCCTGTGGATTTTATACCTCTCATCTGATATCCTTTAGGGCTAGTCTGTTCTTACTTTTAAGGTAGATGCTATTATTCTCATTTTACACTTGATGTAACTGAGACATAGAAATTCAAAAATCTTGCCAAAGATTTCAGAGGAGGCAGATTTAAACCCAAATGCATGTGATTCCAAAGCCCATCTTCTTCCTACCAATAAAAGCCAATAATTATCGAGCACTTACTGTATCTGTAGCAAGGACTGTTCCAAGTGATACACAGATTTTCTTTCAAGCCTCATAATAATGCTATGAAATAGAAATTGTTATCCCCATTTTGCAGATGAGAAAACTGGGGCACAGAATGTTAAGTAATTTGCTCAGTGTCATTTAATTAGTAAGCGGCAGAGTTGGTCCAACTCAGGAGCGCACACTTTTAACCTCTTTAGCCTCTTGTGAGTACATGTGCCCTTTTCAAGGATCAGGCTTGATTCTAATGGTCAGAGAAACCTCTGACTTCTAAAAATGTTTAAGCCATATGAGTCATGGAAACAGATTTCTCCCAGTTGGGTGCTTTTGGGTTGTCTTACCTCTAATGGTCCCTTCTTTTCTAATTGGATCATACTCTCTAGTACATTTTACTGCTGGAATATAGTGGTTTGGGAAATGTTTTTTAGCCAGTTCTAACAAGTTTAGCTATTTTATTCCTATTTCTTGTGCTTTACGAGATCCTTTAGACTCACTGTTGTCCACGGAATGAGAATGATTCTGTAATAGAACTTTCAGATTAAACTCTCAAACTCCATTCTTTTACATGGACTTTCTTAAAGACTTAATTTAAAACAAATGATAATTAAACATTTTTAAAAAATAAATTTTTAATTATTTTAATCATTTGATGGGATTATAATTCATATTCTTTATTTTAAAAGTATTTGAAGTAGGTTAAAATAATACAATGTTATAAAAACCAAAACCTCAAAACTATACAGAAAACAGGGCATATGTTAGTTATACCAGAAACTTAAGGTATTGTAGTTAATTGCTACAGAGCATTTAATGCCAAACTTCCTGGTAGCTGAGGGAACAAAGAAATATAATTGGTCAAAGAATGTTTATTATATGTTCAAGGAAGGAAAAGTCATCCATTGGGGAGGATGGGTTTCAGTGACAGGCCAGTTGCCAACCCTTTACTTCCTACAAGTTAAATCATGTCCACATACTCCCTAGAGCACTCGGACCTTAAAGTGCTGTGGTCGAGACTTTAAAGAACTGCCACTGAGTCTTTAAAGAGGCGCCATGGCTATCTGTAATTCTTGCTTAGCAACACTTAAATTCAGGCTTGCTGCTCTGGGGAAGGGTCAGGTTCTGGCTCCCTCCCCCCTTTGTTCACGTATCTGCTCAGAGCAGGTATGTGCTGAGATATCTCCTCTGACTGTCCACTCTAAATGAGGCTCCCTTCTGCACACCTGCACTATCCAGCACAATAGCCACTGGCCATATGGGACAATTGAAATTAATTACATAAGATAAAATTCAATTCTTTGGTCACAGTAATCACATTTCAGGAGCTCAGTAGCCACTCGAGGCTAGTGTTTATTATATTGGACAACAGAGATACATCATCACAGAGAGTTCTATTGGGCAGTGCTATTTTATGCTCTTACCCTGGCTTTCATTTTCGTTTTTTTTTTAATTAAAAAAAAAAAAATCTTTATTGACTTCAGAGAGAGGAAAGGAGAGGGAGAGAGAGAGAAACATCAATGATGAGAGAGTCACTGATCGGCTGCAGCCCGCAACCCGGGCATGTGCCCTGACCGGGAACCGAACCCTGATCTCCTGGATCCTAGGTTGATGCTCAGCCGCTGAGCCACGCCCGGCCGGGCTCTGCCACAAATTTTAATGAAAGGATGAAAATTCTGTAACCAGGGACACATTTTTTAAAGAGAATGATGCCATTAAATATACCAGCCAAACTTTTCTTTTATCTTTCACATTATGAAGGATAATAAGTATGAAAATTTTTCTTGACAGCTAACATATTGTCCTGAACATAAAAGTTAAAAATACCACTTTTCTTTGGATTATGAAGTCATGTGAGTGGAAGGAAAAAATCAAGGTACCTATTATATAGCTAATTGGACTTACTCTGCTACATAATTTAAAGCAACTGCGATACATTGCAGTGTATTAAAGGCAGTATTGTGCAATTGTAGCTACACACAGGACGAGAAACCCTAATACATTCTAAAATTGTATAGAAATGTCAATTTACCGCAGTTAATTTTAAGTAAAATTTATCCATGAAATGATTGCAGTGTCTAAAAGGAGTTTGCTATCTGGACAAAATACAACTAGAAGCACGACTACCCTAGGTTTGCCTATAAATAGACATGGAAGCTAGTTTTGTGATTTCTGCCAAGCATGCAGCTTCAGTAGCCTTAAAAAAGATTGTTTCTCATCTCTTGGGCCCAGCATTGTGAGGATATACTTGGGATGGTGACGGAGGAGGGAGGTACCTGACAGAGCCAGACAGGTCTGGTAAGTCAACTTTCACAATTAGCCAAATGATAGATGTCGGCGGTTGTCATGCCCAATTCCAGTTACTGACAGTTAGGAATTAGGTAAAGTAGGAGCATTTTTCCTTTGCCATCCCTTTCTAAGATGCAGATATTTTCTGAGTAATGTTCTCAGTAAATTTGGAAAGGTGGATCGTTGCCCATCTATCTATAGGCTATGCAGGATTGGTGTTATTTTTCTATTTTAAGTAAAAATGTCCTCAGATAACCTTTCATCCTTTCACTGGTTTTAAAATCAGGTCCAGTGAAGGACCAAATTCTTCATTAAAAAATAATGACTAATTTTAGAAACCCATAAGTTCAGTTAAGGTTTCTAAGCTGCAGTAAATATGCGTTAAGGATTCATCAAAATTTTTATATTTGCAATTTTAGTTTTTGATGCTTTTTTGGGAAAATCTATTCTATGTATGTATCTGAAATTTAAAAATTTCCTTTGGTGCTGGATCCAGATATGTTCACTTGCTGTTGAGACCTTAGGGGTTGTTTTAGCCACCAGGAGGCCATGTGCTGAGAAAAACGTGAGAGCCATAGACTGCCTGAGTCTATTGATTTTACTCAGGCAGAGTAAAGAAAATGGTCCCATGGAAGTTCTCTGTTACACAGAAACGAGAAAGTAGTTGTGAAAAGGAAGCTAGCTGAGGAGCTTGACACACAGTTCATGCTCATTTTAAATTGCTCGACTCGTTTACAGCTAAAGAAGTTTCAGAATTGTGATCCCATAATTCCATGCTCATTTTAAATTGCTCGACTTGTTTACAGCTAAAGAAGTTTCAGAATTGTGATCCCATAATTCCTAGAAAAAAATGAACTAGACAGTAGTGTTTGGGTACAGTGCTTTTTATCTTTAGCTTTGTAATTGTAGCAAAAATACCAGTTTCCAAAATTATTCAGGTTAGGTTTTTTCTTCTCTACTCCTTTTAGTGTAGTTATGTTGTGCATTTGCGTACAGCTAGGTTCATTGGTTGTTTGTGCTCCATTTGGTTTCCCCCGACACATAGAGATTGATTTTAATTATCATTTATTGGGAAGGTAAGTGAAGCATTACTATAGCTCTAAGAGTCAGAACAATATGAAAAGTTCGTACTCAGAAAAGCGCTGCCCCCACCCCTTGTATCACGTTTCACTCCCTCATTCTTTCTACCCCATTCTCACTCAGCTCATAAAGATAACCAATTTCATTAGTCTCTGATTTATTATTGTTTTTCTTTTTGCACAAATAAATAGCTACATGTATGTTTTCTTATACAGTGACTATATTTCAATGTCTGTATTTCACTGGGCAGTTTGAATGCTGTTTGGTGATTTTGTCTTGAGAGTACTGTTCATGATTGGTGTATCCTTACTGCTAATGTATTAGAAAGCTAAGGAAACTATTGCTTTCTTTCTTGAAAAATATTTTGGGAATTTTTATTCTAGAGTGAAAATGAGAACATGAATTTTGATGGGCTCATTAGCACTGAACTGTCTGTTCTTTACTAGGATATGTTAAAAAAAAAAAAAGGTAACAAAGCAAGCAGCAGCGGTTTTCAGGTTTTCTTTAACCCATTGTATATATTTTTAGCAACATATTTAAAATTTTTATTCCTCCTTATTAATTGAGTTTGAATTATTTTAAGTCTCAAGGAGCGCTGCTAGACTGTCACATAAGAGGTGTCGTTCTTGCTTCCCGAGGTCTTGCAGACTAGCTCTTCGTACAAGCAAGCAAAGGGAAACGCTTTCCCAAGCCTGTTTGGCAGCGCCAGCGTGCGGCATTTCATCGTGCGCTTTCTTTCCGAACCCTGCAGGCCTTTGGGCAGTCCTTCTCCATCCACCGCAAAGTCGCCGAGGATGGCGAGACTCGGGAGGAAACGCTGCTGCAGGAGTCCGCGTCCAAGGAAGCTTACTACCTGGGCAAGATCTTGGAGATGCAGAACGAACTGAAGCAGAGCCGGGCTGTGGTCACCAACGTACAGGCAGAAAACGAGAGGCTCACAGCGGTCGTGCAGGACCTGAAGGAGGTAAACAAGTACCCGGGAGAGATTTGTGGGCCAGAGAAATAGGACGACATTCTGCTAGAGGAGCTTTCGTAAGCAAGGAGCCCCTAATCCAGATGCTAGCACTTTCTCTGCTTTTTTAGTGAAATGGCAGCCTGTTCCGAGATGAGCGTCTCCCTCTCTCTCATTGTTTGTTAAGAATGAAAATCTTTACTTACTGAGTATTTGGGAATTGGGCTTGCTGCTTCTGCAAAGGTGTTTAAAAAATATAGTGACCTTAGCACCTCTCTCCCTTCCCTATTGTAGTACACTGTGGAGAACAGTGGTTGGCCGGGATGCTCTGTGTCAGCACTGATTCAGACGACAGTGGCGTTAGCTCCAGACCCTTCACGCTGGGCAGTGAGACCTTGGGAGAGCGCTCTGAGGGGCCTCAGAGCCTGGCCATGCAGAACCGTAAACTATTTCTGTGATTGCAGACAAGGCAGCAGGTTGCAGCGGGTATGAATGAGGTCTGGGGGCCTGCCCTCCTCCGTCCCCCGACCTCCCCGGACTGTTTCTCCCCAGCTTTCCCGCAGCTGAATTACGTGCCTGACCAGTTCCGACAGGCAGCGTCAGTCTGCCAGTGGTGGTGGGGACACGGAAAGCCCAAAGCAGCTTCATCCCCCAGCCCCTTTGAAGAGCATTTCTGGAAACTTCATATGAAAGCATTCACTCCATTTTTTGATATGAAAGCTGCAGAAGAGGGGCCGACGCCCTCGAATTCCTGCACCAGTGCAGTGGAGGTTGACCAACGGGTGCTAAGTCCACTACCAAGTAGGCTTATTAATTGAGCATTTCAGTAATAGAAAAAAGTGGATAGAAAAATGTTTACTCTTGTGAAATGTAATAGAAGTAATCCACTGATATCTTTTTAAAAATTAGTGACACGTTACATATAGGGTCTCATTATTCCGAGACATAAGTTGTCCAAAATTTATTGGAATTTAATCATTAACTTACATTTACACATGTCCATATTACAGTGAACATCTACACTAAGGTTTCTGCTTTACATAGTTCATTATTTTTGGACATGCCTAAATATAGTAATGTGACTTGTGGAGACAGAAAGGAGCGGAAAAAAGTAGAAGTTAGTATCTTAGTACTTAAGTGATAAGAAGAACATGAGACAGTTTTCAGGAAGTGACCCCTGCCTTACTTCCCTTCCCTTTGCTGCAAACAATTGTTAAAAACCAATCTGCTCTCCAGTTCTTTATCTGATGCATCTGTATGTGCTGGGCTGAGGCCATCACTTGCTTACCTTTTATAGTAACTAGACCTTCCTCTTCCTCCTAAGGAATTGCCAGCCACCCTTCCAATCCCTGCCTTCCCTGTGAGACAGGCGTCCACTGCGGAAGTGCACCCAAGGTCGTGTAGTGACATAGACCACTGTCCTTGATTAAATAAGATACTGAACATCCACAGAGGCAACCTCAGCAACCATGAGCAGCAGGTTCACGTGGCAAGTTAGCAGAGAGGGCGTGACATGGCCAATGTGAGGGCCAAGTGCACACGCATGTGGGTGATTTATGGAGAACTGTGACCAGTGAGTCAAGCAGTCGTGATTACCAGTTGCATGGATCCTCAAAGCTGCACATCCCCGCAGTCACAGAGCTGTAGCTGAGGAATAGCAAAGGTTGAGGAAGGGCCAGGCATCCAGTCATGTTTTTCTGTTGAGGCAAGACAATGGCGATTGACGGAGCATCCTCATGCTGTGCTTGAGCGCGGTTTCCAATGAGTAGATCCATAATAAGCAATAGGACTTGGTCACTAAGAATGAAGATGTAAGTTAGGAATGAAGTGAGGCGGCAAAGGAAAAAGATTTTGAGGAGCCTTTCATTCAGATCAGCTCTCAAATGTTGGTGAGCATCAGAATCACCTAGAGAACTCATCAAAACGAGTCCTGGGCCCCACCCCCAGAGCGTCTGAGTCAGTAGGTCTTGGTGGGACTCAAGAATTTTTATTTTTAATAAGTTCACAGCACGTGAAGCTGTGGCTGCTGCGCTGGAGACCACACTTTGAGAACCACTAATTTAGACCTTTTGGCCAACCCAAAGCTGGAAAAGTGAGCATCATAGGCTCACAATTAGGGAATTGCTGTTAAGCACCGTAATCTCCTGAATGAATCCTTTGGCTATAGTCCTCCGATTTCTGTGCATTTTCAGTAATTGATTTGCAGTAAGATAATAACTTGTTACATCCAAACTTTTTAACCTAAAATAGCTCAAGGCTATTTAGCTGTGAGGTAACTAAAAAAAAAGAGCAAGTTGTTGGTTTCCTAGTCTTCTGAGTGTGCCAACAATGTAATTTATTGCTGTTCTCTCTGACGGGCTGAAAGCTAGTGGTATCACTACCCCTTGAGGCCTGCTGTTTTTCATCCATGCCTCATGTTTTAATGTAGCTAATAAAACTATTAGAATTTAGAACTGATGACATTTGTAAAAGGAGAAAAGGAATACATTCTACTTTTTGGTGTATTGATACAGATTTTTGATGACTGGTGTTAAATTAAAATCCCAAATTTGTTCTTATTGTAGGCCCAGTTTTATTTATTTTTTTGTATTCTGGACGTTGACTGATGTGTAGTGATTGGAAGAGAGATCATAAAACCAAAAAAAAAAAAATCATGACCTGATGGACCCTGAAAAATAGACAAGGATAATCAATGCCAAATGTAGTAAATCATCAGCTTGACAGATGCTGTGTGAATTTAATAATTTAATTAATGGAGTCATTTTTATTCACAGAAAGGATTCATCTCTTATTTCAATAGGATTGTTGGTGCTGGCAAAGGTGTATGTGTGTGTATATGTGGTGTGTGTATTATGGACTTTTTATACATATGTTTGCATGTGCGTGTGTGTGTAATTACAAGGTCAAATTTTCTATATATTGTAGGTATTGGATAGTATAGTGGAAACAAATGGAAAATTTCTGAATTAGATATTAGGAAATCAATATTTGGTCTCAACTCTGCTGAAAGTTTTAGAATTTTATTCATGGCATTTGTAAAAGATTATTTTAGTATATAGTAAATACATAATAAACATAAACTGTTGTAATTAATAACTTTCTGCATCTTTCATAAAAATATCCTTGAAAATACCACTTATTATGTAGATCCACTTTCTTAAGTTAAAGAGATGTTAAATACGTCTTTGAATTTATTGCCTTGAAAATTCTTTCTGTTGAGATATGAACCTAGATGTTTTATATAAGTCTTTTCATTTTTAAACATTTTAATCAGTCTTATTGTATATATATCTTTAATACCAAACTGCTTTAAATAATTTTTTAAAGTTCAGGGAGTATAAAAAATATCACCAAAATCAAAGAGCCAAATTAGGAATTAATCTTAACCAAATTAGGAGTTAATCCTACAGGGCCAGTAATAGAGGGGGAGAAAATCCTTGGATTGCCTTGATGGGCATTATTTTGCTGAGAACTTAATGAGAACAGATAGATTACTATAGTGCCTAAGCAGATAATTAGTAAACAAGTTTGAATTTCATTTTTCTATCTCCAAACTATAATAGAAGATAGCCTAAATAGGCTTATTTGGACAATATTTATTGAACACTTACTTTGTACTAAATTAAACTAAAATCCACATTGATAGAATCACAGAATAGGATAGTGAAACTTTTAATACTACCAAATACTCTCAATTGTTAGTAAGATAAGTCAGAATTTACTGCAATATTTACAAAGCATACAATGCAATTATGCCAGTATTACTAACCAGAAGTGGTGTTTATATAAAAAAGAGATGTCACAGAAGATAGACCCCTTTGGGTGGGATGCAGAAGATTGGAGTGGGAAACTGGATTATTGACTTTAGTAGAGATTAAGTCTATACTTTTAAGTGCAAATAGCTAAACCTTTATTGATTGCCAGCAGTGTGCCAGGCACTGCCCTAAATTCTTTACCTGAATTAACTTGCTGAATCCTTGTAACAGCCCTATTGAAGTAGGTCCTATTATTATATCATCTCATTTTACTGATGGGACATGTGAATCACGGAGAGGTCAAGTAACTTGTTCAAAGCACATGGGTAATAAGTGATAGTCCCGGATCTGAACTCAGGAAACCTTGCTGTGATCTAGATACTCCAAGCCATTTCACCATAGTTGCCAAGAGCACATGTTTCCCTCTTCTGAATCTTGCCTCAAGCTAATGAAATTTCTGGCACAATATAAGTACAATAGCTAAATTTGTAACTTGTGGATAATATTTTATTAGGATATGGCCATTTTATATTTTAAAAACTGCTTAATCCATATGATTTTTATTATCTTTGAAGCTCTGTTTCCCCCTTTTTGGAATATACAACCAAATTTCATAATGTACCAGTGGCTCAATTTCCAGAAATCTATTATTATGCCAACATTTTAAGACTATGCCTGTTACACAATAAGGAATCCACATCTATAAACTTTTAGGGCGTGAGTGTACTTTAGTGAGTATACCTTAGTGATTATTTGGTTAAGATGAATAATTCTTTCTCCTGTAGCCCTGAATGGTCATGTTGCCATTTCTCAGACACTTCCAGCACTATGGAGAAGATGAACTATGAGCCTTTCAAGGAAGGATCTGCTTTGTCTGTCATTTATCTTTTTATCCCCAGTATCTAGCACAGTGCCTGGTCAAAAGCAAACATTAAAAAATAATGTTTGTGCCCCTAGCTGGTTTGGTTCAGTGGTTAGAGTGTTGGCCCGAGGACTGAAGGGTCTCCGGGTTGATTCCAGCCACGGGAGTGTACTGTGTGGCAGGCTCAATCCCGGCCCGGTCAGGGCGTGTGCAGGAGGCAGCCAGTCAATAGGTCTCTCTCACACTGATGTTTCTCTCTCTCTCCCTCTTCCACTCTCTGAAAAGCAATGGAAAAAATATCTTTAAGTGAGGATTAAAAATAAAAATGTTCATTGAGTTGAATTGAACTGAAAAAAAACCATGCTTTGGTAGCTAGTGAGCTACCACTGGATTTT